CCCTACGACGGCGCCGACCTGTCCGACATCAAGCTGCCCGGCGGCTGCTTCATGCCGGTCGTGGACCGCTTCAAATATCTTGGGAGCTACCTCAACCGCGACTGCAGCGACGGGCTCGACGTCGACAGCCGGATCGAGTCGGCAGGCCGAGCTTTTGGCGCTCTTCGGAAGTGCCTTTTCAGCTCGAGGGACGTCTCGTTTGCCGCCAAGCGCGCGGTCTACACCTCGCTCATCCTCTCCATCCTGCTCTACGGGTGCGAGTGCTGGGCGCTCACCGAGCGCCTCCTCCACCGTCTCCGCGTCTTCCACGCACAGTGCGTGCGTGCGATGTGTCGTGTCACTCGCAAGCACGTGTGGGAGCACCACATCACGACTGGCGAACTCTGCGCCAGGCTAGGTCTCGACTTCATCGACTACTACATCGACCGACGCCGGCTGGGCTGGCTCGGGCATGTCAGCAGGATGGATTTCAATCGCCTACCTCGTCGCATGCTCTCATCGTGGGTGCCTCACGGCCGGCCGATCGGGTGCCCCAACATGACGTTTGGGCGCAGCATCCGCACCGCGCTCGACAAGTTCCACATCGACCGCTCGAGGTGGCCCGAGCTCGCCGCCGATCGCTCGGCCTGGCGCCAGACGCTGGAGAACAGGCGCCCGCCCGACGCCTTCTTTGCCATGCCGGCGAGGGCTAGGCCGCCCTCCCCGCGCATTGCGCGCACTAAACCAGTGCGCTCATGCTTGGCGAGAACCAATGCAGCGATGGACATCTCGCTACAGGCGCTCGCGGGGTCGTGAGTGGGGGTCCCCACTGCTGCCCCTCTGACTATACATTTGTCTGTGGTGATGCCTTTCCCTGAGAACGCACACAACGCCTCGTGTGTAATGCCCTGTGTTCCGCGAGTGCGTGTGCCCCGTCGTCCATGCTAGGACGTGTGTAACACTGACTGACTGTTACAAATGTGTAGGGCCGCTGGCGCCCGCACAAGCGTGTCGGCGCCCCCGGGCCTTCCGATGTGTATGTCGAGCGGCTCGTGCACGGCGCAGACCGCCGCCGCCTGGCTTTCAGCACACCTCGAGGACCACGTTGAGGCCGCAGCCGACCTCAATCAGTACTGGTACAGCGCCTCGACCATCGCAACGCTTTGTGACCTCGTCCGTGAGCAGTGCTTCCGGTCCGACCATTCGTGTGCGTTGGATTGTGCCTTCCTCTCCACACCGTCACTATTCTTTGCGCTGACGCCGGCAGAGCGCGCCCGCTCGCGCGTGCTTGACTTTGACGAGGCCCTCGGTGTCGGCGAGCCGGGCTTCGTGCGGTACGACTTTCACGAGCCGACAGCACTTCCTCCGGCGCTTGCAGGAGCGTTCCGCTGCGTCGTCATCGATCCTCCGTGCGCGCCGCCATCGCGGAGCGTGCACGTTAGCGCTGTCGCTTCACACCCGCCCGTCCTGCCCGCGCAGCTTCATCACGGTGGACGTTTGGAGGCGGTACATTGAGACGGCTCGCCACTTGCTGCAGCCATCGGGTGGGGTCGTCATCCTCACGACCGTCATCGAGAATGCGGGGCTGCTCGCCGAGACGCTCGGCGCGACGCCCCACACCTACCTTCCGTCGATCCCGAACCTGCCGTACCAGTATGCGTTGTTCACCAACTTCAGCTCGGCGACGCTCGACAGGCCGAACCCAGAGGTGCCTCACGATCCTGCAGCGTTCGTTGCGGCAGCGGCGGCGGCGGCGGCGGCGGCACCGCCGGCAGAGGCCGAGGCCCCGGTCACGGGCGCCGGCCACTCGTATGACTTTGAAGCTATGCTGGACGCGGAGCTCAGGCGTCAGGCGCAGTCTTAGGAGGACGCTAGCGGAGAGCGGCGCAGCCCCACAGCCCCCCACATGACAACATGTGCATGGACATGTCCTAACATGCACATGTGCATGCACATGCACATGCGCATGACATGTGCATGTGCATGTAGCAGCGCCATGCCGCGTGCAGCCCCCCCGCGCGCGGCCACCAGCGCGCGCCGCAGCGCCCAGCCACCAGCCACACCCACAGCCACACACCCCGGACCCCGCCGGAGTCGCGGAGTGCGGCGAGATATCTAGCGCTTAGCGGGTTGGCAGCGCCCGGGCCCCTATAGAGGCTATAGCCCTTAGCCGGCCGCCCGCCATGGTTTTCGCCAGCGCGTTTTCTGCGTGGCGGTGGAGACATTGAAATCATGAGTTTCTGTATACATATCATGACACTCATAAACTACACGCTGCGCTCGCCACCCGCGTCAGCGCCAACCAGCTCTCTCGGATCGTATACCTTCAGGCCGATGGACCTGCACTGGGCTGCGAGCGACTTGCACATCGTCCTCAGGTTGGAACGCTCCTGCAGCTTGCGGTCGGTCATCTTGACCTGCGGCGGCGCGCACCATCAACGTGGCGTCAACTCCTCTCGCGGACTGCGGGCGGAGCGCAGGCGGGATGGGCGGTGGCACCTTGGCGATCTCATAAATCTCCTTCACGGAGATTGATCCCACCCACTCGATGCCCGGCTTCGAGGTGCCCTTCTCCACACCCGCAGCCTTCTTGAGGAAGTAGGAGCTCAGCGGCGTCGACACGTCAAAGTCAAAGGTGCGGTCCGCGTAGGAGCGGACCTCGACCTGCGGTGGTGCTCGCGGGCTGGGCGGGCCCGACCGCAGACGGCGCGATGCGCCGCGCGCAGACGGCGTGAAGATGATCGGGGGGGATTCCACGCGACACTTGGCGGGGGGGGCCGGCGGGCGAGCCTGCATCGGAGTCCCGGGCGCGTATGCCGCCGTCCGGTCGTTGAACTCCTTGCAAAAGTTCATCAGGTTGAGGCCCCGCTGGCCGAGGGCCGAGCCGACAGGCGGCGCGGGCGAGGCCTGGCAGGCGCCCAATGTCAGGCGAAACGTGGATGTGAGCCTGGACATATACATATCACGTTTCCTGCACGCGAGCCGCTCAGCCGGGTCGCGCTGGAGTCTGCTCGAAATAAAGAAAATACGCGCGCTGTGTGTGTGTGTCTGGCGATGGAGGACCGTGGGCCATCGCGGGGACGGCCCGCCGGAGGCGGGCTCGATTGATCCGGATGGTCTTCACACCGGTGGGAGGAACCGAGGTGGAGGGTGGTAGCTGGAGGCTGAGGGCCCAACTTCAGAATCGTGCTTTTTGGGTTGGGTTGGGTTGTTGGGTTGGGTTGGGTTGTTCCGCGTGAGGTTGGGTCGTCGGCGCGAAGGGTGAGGTCTCGACCGCCGCCGCTCACGCCAGCGGACGGCCACTGCCGGTGTTTTTGGCTTCGCCACCGTCCAAGGCGTGCGCCATGCGCTCGCCGGCATCGAGCGAGCATCGTGATCGACCGAGCGGCTTGCTGTGTGGCCGCCTTCTTGTGGCTCTCGTCGAGAGCGTTTTGCGTCCCGGCGGGTGGGAGAATGTGTGTCGTCTGAAGTGTCACTGTGTGCGTCACATCGATGTGGATAACAAGCACGGTCGATCCGTCAAAGCGATACACTCGTTCCTATCACGCTGGAAGGCTTGCACGGAGCTCTGTGCCGGCACACAGAAGAGCCGTGCGGCAAGAAGAGCTCGCTGGGGAGCGAGAACCGTCAGATTTTCAGGTGTAGCCTGAAGTCCGTCGCGACGCACTCAATCCCTCCCGAGCGAAAGCCTGTGGCTCTCTCGAACTCGTCGATATATTGCGAATAAACTGCTCTTCCCGCATAGCTTGCAGAGTCAGAGGCGCAGAAAGGCTACGAGTGTTCGACGAGTCTTGCGAGCTGCGCGGTCAAACCTGGGGGGGACTGACCGCATCAAGGCGGACTTCCGAAACCTGGGTGAGCACCTCTGGCAGTTCTCGCTCCCCATCGAGCTCTTCTTGCCGCACGGCTCTTCTGTGTGCCGGCACAGAGCTCCGTGCAAGCCTTCCAGCGTGATAGGAACGAGTGTATCGCTTCGACGGATCGACCGTGCTTGTTATCAAGACTGACATGACGTACACAGTGACACATCAAACGACACATGTTCTCCCACCCGCCGGGCCGCAAAACGCTCTCGACGAGAGCCACAAGAAGGCGACCACACAGCAAGCCGCTCGGTCGATCACGTTGCTCGCTCGATGCCGGCGAGCGCATGGCGCACGCCTTGGGCGGTGGCGAAGCCAAAAACACCGGCAGTGGCCGTCCGCTGGCGTGAGCGGCGGCGGTCGAGACCTCACCCTTCGCGCCGACGACCCAACCTCACGCGGAACAACCCAACCCAACCCAACAACCCAACCCAACCCAAAAAGCACGATTCTCAAGTTGGGCCCTCTGTCTCCGACCCCGGTGTTTTGACACCCAACACTCTTCCTTAGCTCCTGAGGGGCGCGTGGTTCTAACCACGTAGTATGACTATAGCCCACCACAGACACCCTCCCTGCTCCACACGTGTGCACACTCCCTCACCCTCTCCTCTCTGCTCTCTCTCTCTCTCTCTCTCTCCTCTCCTCTCCTTGTCTGCTGTCTGCCTGACTCAGGCGCAATCTGCCGATGCGAGATTGTGTGTGGGCTGCTCCTAGGGGGCCCTGTGCGATCCGACGGGTAGGGGGGCTGTGCCCGGGCGGTGTCCGGTGTGGAGTCCCCTTCTGATCCCGCCTGAGATGTTGGGTGCGAGGTCGTGGAAGCTTTGATCCCAGGGGGGGAGCTGATCCCACTCGTAACCAACTCTCAGGGGCAGTAGGTGGGCGAGCTTCAGGCGCGCCCATCTCGATCGACAAGGCGTCGCTACGCGCGGTCTTCCGCGGGGGGAGCTTCGTCGACGGGTGCGGGAGCGCGGCGCAGTCAGTGCCGTGGCGATGCCTCCGGCTGTTTGCGGCGGGCGGCTTGCTGCTCGCTGCGATGGCGAAGAACTCGTCTCGCCACACACCAAAGGGCGTATGCTCTGGCGGGACGTGAGGCGCATGCGCCCAGGAGGGGAGGGGGCATGCGTTTTTCACTGCTAGAGATGCCTTTCGGGGCCCAGAGACAAAACTTCTGATGCCATGTGTGACCTAGTAGTGTCCCCAGCTATGGGCGCAGTATGGGCGTGTCCACGTTGGAGCCACAGGTGTGGTGTGGGCGCGAGAATAGCTCCGCCGTTCATGGAGGCAACCGATGCGAGTCGACTGGTGTGTGTCGTCGTGGTTTCGTATCAAGAATACTCACTCACACTAAAGAGAAAGGGGTAGGCAGAACATAACGCATTTTACAAGCGATCCCACGTCAAATAAAGAGAAAGCGGATAGGAAACAAGAACACAACGCACTCTCTCACATAATAAAGAAAGGATAATGTGCTGCTCGGGAAAGAATTTTCGATCGATTTCGGAGCGTAAAAAAGAAATCTCCGGCGCGCACACCTCGCGTTCCTCTCTCGCATCGCAGGTCCGCCTCCGCCTCCCCGCCACTCGCGCCGCCTCGCCGCCGCCTCCGCCGCCCCCTCGCCAGACACGCCGCCGCCCACCCGGCTGCAAAACCTCCCCACGTAGCTCGGCGTTCCTCATGCCGGCCCCCAATCGACTCTCCGATCTCGAGAACTGCGCGATCGGCGCCATCTGTGGGACCGCCGACACGACGCTGCTCCAGAGCACAAACTACTGGAAGAATGCGCAGCAGCAGCGGCTGCCTTTCACCATGAACCCGGCTGTCCTGTGCGCGCCCTCGCCTGCCGCCGACCCAACCGCCTGTGGCGTCGCCCAAGCTCCCGGATCCCTTCGCTAGGTACCGCGGCTACAGCGCGAACGTGCTCAACAACGGGTTCTGCCTCATGACGCAGTTCTACCTCAACGGCATCGCCAAGCGAATGCTGACCGGCGGCGCCCGCGAGCCGACGCCCGCAGAGCAGATTGGCTCCGGCTTCGCGGCGGGGCTCGGCTCGGGCGTGGTTTGCGGACCGCTCGAGCTGATCATGATCCAGCAGCAGCGCAAGGGCGGCACCATCCTCAGCGTGGGTGGCGACCTCGCTCGCGGCGGCCCGTCGATAGTGTCTCGCGGCATGCTCGCGCTCGGCCTGCGCGAGGGCATCTACTGCGCCGGGTTCATGGGCATCTTGCCGGCGGTGCGCAAGCACATTCGCGAGACGTACGCGCACACGCCCTTTGGCCAGAGCGAGGACGCGGCGCGGCTGACTGCCACCTTCATCGCCGGCCCGATCTGCGCGTTTGCCTCGCATCCGCCCGACACCGTCAAGACGTGCATGCAAGGCGACATCGAGCAGGTGCGCTTCAAGGGGTACGGCCAGTCGGCGGGCGTGCTCGTCGCAGAGTCGGGCATCGCCGCGCTGTGGCGCGGCATGCCCTGGCGCCTCTTCCGTCAGTGTTGCGCCGTCTTCCTCTTCGACAAAATCTCGGCCGAGGTTGCGCCGAGACTCTTCCCGCACGCGTTCCGCTGAGCCCTCCCGGCGGGAGGCTGCCGTTGCGCTGCTGGCCCGCCGTGTCGACAGGGGCGTGGCGGTCCAGAAAGGCGACAGCCCGAGGCCCATGCAACCCCTTTGGCCGTCGTCTCCTCTCATATGCGCAAAAGAGAGGGACTCCCGGGAATAGGGGGCGGGCCGTGGGGGTCGGGTGCACCCTATTTGTGCTACCGTGTCGTGTGAGTGAGAGAGAGCATGTTTTCTGCGGTCTCCGCTGTTTCGTGTTTGCCGCGCCGCTGCAAGCATAATTCATTATTATTTATGACTTGTGGTTAACCTTACGGCATGCACTGTGGGCCTCCAGCCCGGATACCCGCGCTTCACCTCATCTTTTAACGCCTTCTTCACCTGCCGCTTCGACTTCGAGGTCACCACGTCGTCGGCGCGCTTCTTTTGCTTGCCGAGGGGTGTGCCGTTGAACTCGCTCTCGAGGCGGTCCAACTCGTCGAGACGCTTCGCCTGCTCCCTTTCCCGTTCCTCGGTCTCCCGGAGGTTGATGTGCAGCGGGTAGGCACGGTTGAAGGAGCTCATCACGATGCGTGTCAAAAAGCTGAAGAGGCGATCCTCGATGCAATCGGGGAGAGGGCACCCGGCGCTGCCGACCTTCACCTCCAAGTCCCACTTGATTCGTGGCGGGTCCTCCTTTTTGAAGGCGAGGTCGAACGTCGAGTCAAAGACGTCCCACCACGCGAGGCAAGACGTCTGAGGAGGCGAGGGTTCCGCTCAGTCGGCCTGTGCGCGTGGATTTTGTGTCACAGGGTCGGGGAGGTGACGGCGCGCCTCGAGCATCAAGCTCTTGATCTCAACGGTGCCGACGGACGGGAACCCATTCTTGCCGCGGATATGCAGCACGAGCCTCGCGTCGTTGTCAGTCGTGGTGACTGCGGTGAAGTCGTCGAGGTCGCGGAAGTCGATCTTGTAGAGCGGCGCTCGCGAGTCGAAGCGCATACTCAGGGCAAGGTTCAGCTCGAGCGAGAGGGTGTCGTTGGGAGCGTCGCGCAGCAGGCGCGGCAGGAAGTCGCTGGGGTACTCAAAGTCGAGCGATGCCTTGAGCCGGCGAGGGAGGCACTTTTGCAGGCAGGAAGAGAACGGCCAGCAGCACTTCTTCTTCAAGTAGCGGTCGGCGCGTTCGGTGACGACGTCGCGGTTCTGGTTAGAAATCTGGCGCTGGCGCGACTCTTCCTTGGTGAGACCCTCTGGCGCTTTGAGCAGCGAGGCGTTGAGGCGGCACGTGAAGCGCTTGAGGAGACCGTTCGCCTCGACTCTCGTGGAGCCGCCAAAGGGAGTCGCTGCGCCTGTGGAGCCGCCGCAGCACTTGCTGCACTTGCCGCCGCAGCAGCTGGAGCAGCCGCTGCCCACCTGCGGGGGGAGGGAAGAGCATCAGTCGCCGGCCCGTTGCGTCCTCCATGCGGGGCTTCTCGCGCCTTGACATACTTGGCCGGCGAGCCGTCCTGCATTTTGACACGCCGGTAGAGCCTGCCCGCCTCGTCCATTCGCAGGACCTCGAGCTCGTAGTTCTTGGCGATGCCTTCTTCGCCGAGAGGCAGGCCTTCCCCGAGATTATGCTGCGACGACAGAAAATCCTGAATGGAGCGCCGGCTTGGGTTCATGTAGCGCGGCAGCACCTGCACAGCGGAGAGAAGGGGATGGCCCTGGCCACAGGGCAGCGTGGCAGAGCTTTGAGGCGGCATTACGATTTTGAGCACGAGGTTGATGAGGGGGACGGCCGTCCGCAGCAGTTTGATCAGTGTGCGCTTTCGCGTGCGAGCCAGCGCGGAGCTTCCCGGGGCCGAGCAAGCGACGATAATCTTGCCCAGCGCCGATTGCGCGGCCGGGCCAGCCTCGAGCAGCAGCCTTGCCAGGTCCTTGAGCGCTGTCGGCGAGTGGCTCGCGCTGTCGAGCAGCTGCGCGGGCGCAAGCCGGTGCACATGTTACTTGTGAGAGCTCCACTCCCGCTCTGTGGCATGCAGGCTAGGCACACACCTTCACCCACGACACAGCCGCAATCCTTCGTGGCGAGAAGGTGCCGCAGTATCTTTTGGGCTTCTGCCCCGTCGCTGCGGTGCTCAAGGGCTTTGAATTGGCGCCCCGCTCCTTGGCCGGGGGCGCTGACGCCTGCGTGATTGGCTGGTTCCGAGTGCGCAGCGGCATTATGTGTATCTTCGCTCCAGCGAGCGAACAACGTCCGTCCGTATCCATCCAACTGTGTGCTTCGCCTCCTGCCTCTCTCGCGTGACGCCACGAGTTACTCACATTCCTCCTTTGCGTGCTTCCTGCTCAGCATTTGGAGACGGATGGGCCGATCCCGGATGCCCCGTATTACCACACCTTTCGGGCCTTCAAGCTGCGTTCGTGCGGTGTGTACCCGAGGGTGGAGGCCTTCCTTGCGGACCCGGTCGTAACCGGCGATACATCGCTCACCACCACCAAGTGAGGAGTGGGCCCTCCTGCCTCCGACGAAGCGACGCTAGCTGCATCCACTCACACGGCGCCCTCTGTCGGAGTTCGACCCCCCCCCCCCCCCCACGCGCGCAGCGTCCCGGCCGGCTTTGCCTCGGGCGACTCGATCCGCATCGGCGACTGGCCAGACACGGAGACAGCGACGATCGCCGCGGTGACGAGACCGCCTGGCTATGGTCCGGACCACGACTTTGTAAACGGCTACGCGGGAATTCAATGGCCATACCCTCCGCCGTCGCCGGCTCCGCCGGGGGGGTACGAGGGGACCATCACCGTCGCGTCGCCCCTCATCTTTGACCACCCGGCGGGCACGAGGGTGTCGCGGCTCCTGGTGGCGCTGACGGCGGGGGAGAATACGGACTACGCCCCCCTCTGCCAGAACTCGCCGTTCTACACAACGGAGTGCCGCCTCTCCTCCCTCGCCATCGGCCTCATCGTGGGCGCGGCGGTCGGCGGCGGCATCGTGACCCTGATCCTGATCGCGATCGCCTGCAAGTGCGCCCTGAGCGACAAGGCCGCCGCCGCCGCCCCCAAGGCGGCCTCCGCTGCGACGCCGGCCGCGAGCGGCCGAGCGAGCGCCTGCTCCACCACCCAGCGGATGACCGCCGCATCCACCTGAACCCCCACGGGTCTGTTTGGTTCGTTAAAACCCTTCGCCGGCGTCACACAAAGGGCGAGTGCGCGCCTCAACGAAAAAAGAAAGAAAGAAAGAAAACAGACACGCCAAACGAGGGATAAAAGAAAGAAAGAAAGAAAACAGACAACCCAAGGGATGGGACGAAAAATGTCTAAGTTTTTGTGCCGGTGATAGTACTAGCACGCGCCAGTTCGCACCTGTGTCGAGCCTGTGTGCTGTGAGAGAGGGTTTTTAAATTCTTTTTTCGTCACCGCTCTCCACCCCCGTCTGTTTCCCGCGGTCGTGTGCCCGCTTGCCGTTCGACATATGGCCACCGTCGAGCAGCCTCGCTCCGTTCGCATCAAGCGGCAGCGCGACGAGCCCGTGCTTCCAGGGCTGATCCTCGACGCCGGGCCATCCAAGCGCCCGCTGCTCGCCTCGCTCTCGCTCTCCACCGACAGCCCCTCTCATCTGCGGTCTCGTGAGCCGGCGGGTCGGCTGCGTCGCTACCGACTCGTCGCGACGCTACTCGCCGATGGCCGTGTCGCGAGCGGGTCTGGCCGCTCGCCGCACCTCTCCACTCGCCCCGCGGCCGAATGCCGCCAGCACAGGCAGGCGAGGCAGGCCGAGCACCAGTCAGCGGCGCGATACGAGAGGGTGATATCGAACCGGCTCGGTGCAGACGCCGGCTCTGCCGACAGCGACGTGCTCGAGCTTCGCCGGGTGGCGGCGCGGCACTGTCCGCAGGCGCCGCCGAGCAAGCCACGCTTGCGGCCCTTTGGGCCGCCGCTTCCGCCCAGCCGCGGCGTGTTGCGCAATGGTGCGCTCGCGCCGCGGGCGGGGGAGGGGCTGCCGAGCGGGAGGGCCTCGCCCGACGTCCGGCGGGGCTGGGCAGGCCCCGGTGGGGGAGGGCTCGAGGAGGAGGGGATGTGGCGGGATGCGGAAGCGGCGGAGGCGGAGGAGGTGGCGGCGGCGGAGGCGGCGGCGGCGGAGGCGGCGGCGGCGGCGGCGGCGGACAGGCAGGGCGCCAGCGCCGAGGCGCGCAGTCCAGACGGGCCCGGCTCCGCTCATCTGCGCCAGTGGTCTCCCTCTTTCCCCGTGCCCTCCTCTTGGCTCTCTCTCACCTCCTCGAGCGCCCGCAGGAGGTGTACGACGTGTACGAGCTTGTCGAGGAGGAGAGCGGTGTTGCTGCAGCCGACGGCGGCGGGCCGGGCGAGTTCGAGCGGATCTGGCGCGCAGAGCGCCCGCGTCCGCAGCTGCAACCCGCGCCCTTCGCCAGCCCCCCCCCCCCCCCCCCCGCGCCAGGTGGGAGGAGCCGGACGATGTGTGGTGCGGCTCGGACGGCTCCGCGCGGGGCTCGGACTCGGACGCCGAGGTGGACTACCCGGAGGAGGAGGAGTCGGAGGCGTTTGACTCGGACGCCGGCTCGGAGGACGGGTGGGGCGGGCGGGCGTACGACTGAGCGTCACGGCTTGTCGGCCGCAGTTTGTGGCCACTCGTTGTCGTCCGGAAGCCGCAGTGGTCTGAGACATGCATTTCGGAGCAAACGGGTTCTCCCGCAACACACGATCTACACTCCATCACTGAAACTGAAAAGAAAATAGTCATACAGGAGGGGCGCGGGGGGTACGCCTACGCGCACTCTAGCCATCTCCCGCATATTGCCCAGAATGGGGTTGGGTAGTAGGGCTAGAGGGTCGCTCTACACTCGTAGCCTCTGCAGCAAGCGGGCAAAAAAGTCTTTTTCTCGCGATGTCCACCCCGCCGCGGCGCCGCTCGCGCCGCCTCGCCACCGCCGCCACCGTCGCTCCCTCGCCGAGCACGCCGCCGCCCACCCGCCTCCTCGACCTCCCCACGGAGCTCCTCGTGCGCGTCGTCTCTCGCGGAGACCCCGCCGACATCG